TAGTGCTCCGCCGTTAGGCTCCACGAGGCGCACCCATATAGGAGAGTCTCCACCATTTCAGCCTGGAGTAGCCGAATCTTGAGCTGGCGGTTGGCCCGTCGCCTGTCGTACATCGAAGCACTGTTCCGGCGGTAGCACTNCATAGCATCAGTCCGAACAGGCCGGCCACGCGCACGATGACCGACATCATCTTCTCGAGACTCTCCGGCGAGCGCGAGACGATGGCCGCGTCGTCAGCGTAGAGCATGGCCCACAAGGCCTCCGCGTCCGTCACCACCGTCGTCTTCTTCCCCGCCGACCTGCCCTTCTTGCCCGTGTACTCCACTTGTGTCCCGATCTTGACCATGTCCGCCGTCACCTCGGGATCCTTGTCGAACTCGGCCACGGCGACCCTGGGCATCGCGGCAAAGAACAACTTGAACAGCAGCGGGGCCAGGTTGCACCCCTGTCGGAGGCCTTGGCCCACGTCGAACCATTCCGAGTACTGCCCGTCGTCCGTTCGGACGCGCGCCCTCATGCCCTCGTGGAAGTGGCGAATGACCGCCAGCATCTTCGGGGGCACGCCGAAGCGTCGGAGCACGTCCCACAGTAGGTCTCGGTCCACCGAATCGTATGCCTTGGTGAGGTCGACGAAGCACGCGAACACCGCAGTACTCTTCTTCCTCGCGAGCTCATGGAGCCGCTGGATGGCGAACAGCATGTCGAGCGTCGACCGGTGTGGGCGGAAACCGCTCTGCCCTCCGGTACGATGCCCTCTCGCTCGCAGTAATGGCTCAGTCTTGTGGCGACGACCTTAAGCAGCACCTTGCCGGCGTATGCGACGAGAGAGATGCCCCGGTAGTTGCCGCACTCCATCGTGTCCCCCTTCTTGAACAGCACTTTGATGGTGGCATCCTTCCACTGCTGTGGTACGTCCCCAGTCTGCCACACGTCCACGACAATGGCGTGGAACTCGCGGAGGAGACCTTGATCTCCGTCCAGGAAAAGCTTGATCAGCTCAGCCGGTAGGTCGTCCGGCCCGACGGCCTTTCTGTTGGCCATTTCCCGTACCGCTTCCTCAACCTCAAGTAGAGATGGGATGTCGTCGAGTGGCACGCACGTGGGCCACCGCTTGACCTTGTCAGCCGCATGCAGGTCGATCCTCGGCGACTTGGTGTTGAGAAGCTTGTGGAACCACCGTGCCCACCGTTGGCGAATAAACGTGGGGTCCCGAAGGACCTTGCCGTCCTCGTCCTTGATGTTCTGAGAGGTGAACGACCTCTTACCTTCGACGTCGATCATCTTCAGGTGCCTGTAGAAACCCGCCTGATCCCCCTCGCGGCTCTTCTTCTCGAGCTGCCGTACATAGCCCTCGAAGAACGTTTCCAGTGCTCTCCACCTCGCGATGCTGCGCTTCTTCCGCGCCGCCTTGAACATCGCCTTCAGGGTCGCCTCGAAGGCGCTGGTCTTTGAGACCCCACGCAGTTGCTGCTTCTCCTTAGACGCTTCGGAATCTCGTGCTGCGCTGCGCTCGTGTACCAGCCTCTCTGCCCTCGTGCGCACCTCGCCAGCGGCGCGGTCTCAGCAGCGGCCGACATCACCGTAGCCGTCAGCTCGGCGGCGGTCTCTCCCGCGTTGGCCGCCTGAGCGCCGTGGGCGGAGGGCGGCTGGCCGCCCTGTTTTGGAAGGCGATCCGTAGGTGTTTATCCTTCCTCAACCGCTCGAGGTCGATACGGGTCCGGCTGCTTCCGCTGTTCCCCCGCACTCGTCGGTTGGGTGCGACACGGGGGGGGAGGCGGACAGTCGTAAGCACGAGGTTGTGGTCAGAGTCTTTGAAGTCGACACGCTTGACGGAGACATTACGCACGAAACGCCGGTCCGTCTGACGCATGAGGATGAAGTCGAGGCCGTACTTCTCCTTCCCCTTGTTGGAGCTCTGGAATGTGTGCTGCACTCCACCTTTCGGTGTCCGGAAGTAGGTGTTGGTCAGGGAGAGTTGGTTGCCTAATGCCAGTCCTAGGAATCGTTCCCCGTTGTTGTTCATGATGTCGCGTCCGTACGCGCCCATAATCTTGGCATCGCAGCACCCGTCTCGCCTCCCACCAGTGTGTGCGTTGGCGTCCATTAGCACCACGAGATGGTCACGGCTATGAACCTCCCGGATCGCTGCGTCGAGAGCAGTCCAGAGGGAGTCCTTGGCGTTAACATCACCGCCCGCGGTGGTGCGGACAGTTCGGGGGGCGTACCCCACCACGAAAGTTACTCCGCAGGTGCGGCCAATTTGTAGACGCACCTTCATCAGCCTCGGGCTAATGCACTCCACCGTCCTACCTTCCTCGCCCGCACTGTCCCACATGGCCTCCTTGATCGCTATGCCCACACCGTGTACGCCCCTCTTGTCCTTGGTGCCAGCACGGGCGCCACTCCAGATGACCACGTACCCGTCGTGTGCAATTGAACCTTGCCCCTCTCGTCGGGTCTCCTGAAGTCCTATCACATCACAGCCGTTCGTGGAACAAATCTGCATGACCGTCATCACGTTGTGACCGATGGGGTTCCTACCGCTGTAGGCGAGCGTGCGTACGTTGAACGTGCCGAACGATACATCGTCCTCTCGTGCCTTCTTCGCAGCCGCCTTGACGACCGCTACGGTCTCGTGTCTCGCTCGGTCCACCTCGCGTTGCGGATGTGCTTTCTTCCGTATTTCCGAGCGGCGAATTTCCTCGCATCAGTCCATCTCTGGCGCCTTACGGTATGCCGGGGAGGGGTTGAGATTGATAATGTTGGCAAACCACTTGAGCTCTGAAAATTCAGTTGTGGGTTGCTGTCGGTGTGTAGATGCGATATTTGGTCTCAAATTTTTAGTCCGGGGTCGGGAAGGTGGGTTTTCAGTGAAACTTGGTGATATGTCTTAATGTATAGGGAAACTCAAATCAGGGGAAACGAACTTTCTGTCCCCCCCCCGGGGACAAAACGGGGATTTGCCCATATCTTGCCCATTAAAAGCGCTTTTTTGACCGCTGTTCCGGTAGAACAAACCCTACAATTTTTGCAAACTTAAGTGGCCACTTTCGACCAGCGAACACGAACTTTTATGTCCCCCCCCGGGGACAAAACGGGGATTTGCCCATATCTTGCCCATTAAAAGCGCTTTTTTGACCGCTGTTCCGGTAGAACAAACCCTACAATTTTTGCAAACTTAAGTGGCCACTTTCGACCAGCGAACACGAACTTTTATGTCCCCCCCCGGGGACAAAACGGGGATTTCCCCATATCATGCCCATTTTATGCGCTGTTCAGACCGCTGTTCCGGTAGAACAAACCCTACAGTTTTTGCACACTTTA